ATTTGTGCAGATACTTTGTATGGTGGAGAAGTTCAGTGCCCTCCAATACCTAAGGACCTGTTTATTGAACTGATGATTACTGTGATACATTCAATGGAATTCAGCTTTAATGATATCATGTATCAACAGATTGACGGAGTCACCATGGGTTCTCCTCTTGGACCTGCCTTAGCCAATATTTTCGTTGGTTTCCATCAAAAAGAACTATTCAACAAAGTTACCAGACCTGCTGTTTACGTCCGCTATGTAGACGACATATTTGTCATTTTTAAAACTGAACAGGAATGTGAACTGTTTCTTACAAGACCTAAACTCGTTGCACTCGGCTATCAACTTTACTTTCGAAAAGGAACAACATAACTCTTTACCGTTCCTAAACGTCTTAGTTGAAAAAGATGACTTTCTTTTTCTCACCAGTATATACAGAAATCCTACCTTTACAGGACAATACACACGATGGGATTCTTTCAGTCCCAAAACGAACCTTATTGCTACTTTTAGTCCATCGGGCTCTAGTTAACTGTTCAAAACCTAGATTTCGAATTGAAGACAATTAAAACTATTTTACAAGAAAATGGGTATCCAGAAAACGTCATCAATCAAATTACTTCAAGGAAAATTGCGAGCTTCTCAACTGCCTCAAAATTTGGTCCTAACAAGTGTCCTGTTTACCTAAAACTACTATGTATTGATAACATTTCAACAAAATTTGAAAAACAATTGAAAACGGCCATTGCTAAATGTTTTCCTGCAGTGAACCCCTACTGTGCTTATTCCACGTGCAAGTTGTTGCTTGCAACACACAAAAAGGCGATACCTACCACACAGTAAAGTATGGTTATTTCAATTATTTTAAATTATTAACGATTTAGTTGGCCTTCCATAAATTAATATTATGATAAAATGCATGTAACTTTCTTTCGTATTCAAACGAAAGAAAATCTGCCTTTTACTATTTGTTTTTTAATAAATCCATTGTAAAATTATAGTGGAGTTTTAAATGGAAAATTAGAGGGAAAATATTTAAAACAGGAAACACATAGAACACTGAAATTTCCTATAGTGTAAAAATGTTTGTACATATGTTTGACTTGTTTTGAACATATATCATTTTAAAAGAAGTGGATTGTGTGCTGTCCATTTATTGTCTAAATTTATCACAGACACCTACTGTAGAAGAATCCCAGTCCAATCATATTTAAAACCCTGACACATATTTTGTATTAGAATAACACTATCGAAGCCAGATAAACTAAATTATGAAAATTTCTGTGAATTTCTGTAAGTTTTGGTTATCTACAATAGTTATTGAGGCTATTACTCTGCTGGCGGAAAATACTTGATTAAAATAAGTTCACAGCTAGTAACTAGAAGCATCCTAAAAATAACAGTAACTGTTAAATCTATCAAAATCTTGATTATTATTATTGCTCCATTCAAAACTCAGTGTCTTGTTTTAAATTTAGAGCTGTCTACAATAATTAGAAAAATGATCAACTTAGACAATTTGTAGTAATTTAAAAATGGAATTGCAGATAAACTGAACGAACATATCCAACCTAAAAAAGACATGAGAGAAAATTTCAAGTTCCCGGTCTATAGGTCACTTCTTGACCTATTATGATAACTCAAAAACATTTTCATCTAAATTATGAAGCCAGTTAAAAATCATCATGTTTCTTTCATACTTCGTAAGTGACTTTCCTTTATCACGTTCGATATCCTTTACAGTTAGACTGAGATTTTTGTTGGAACCTCTGAATCCCAGGCCATATATTCCCACCTCGCTTCTGATACTCTGAGACAGTTCTGGGGATATTTCAACGTGGGGTATATTGATCTTGATTTCATGCTCCGATATTGCTTTATTTAAATCTAGCTCACTCTGAGTTAACCTTTTTAAAGTTTTATAGATAGACAAAACTCGTTGTCGAATATACATCTGTCGGGCTTTTTTATTCACTGACCAGACAAACTCTGAGGCTGTGATTGACGTAACTTCTTCAAAAGGACCTGATGAAGGTTGGGGCGATGGGAGTTGCGATGTTGATAATACATCACCAACAGCTACCCAGGTAGACAGAGAGCGTGATGTACCATCCAACCCAACGTTCTGCAGTCCGTATTTCCCCCAGTCACAAACAGCAGCTTCAGAAGAACAAGGCCGAAGTGAATCTTCCTCCACATTGATGGTATGATTGATGTCACTTGTGCTAAAGCTTTTCACCAGCCCTAACACACTCGAAAGAGCCCCACAGTCACGAATGAGTTTTGATTCTTCTTCAAATAGGACTTCTCCTACAACAGTTGTCCTGTTCCGAACCCCATAATGATCACGAGGTACTTGCAACAAACTACCACAAGAATTACCCAGACTACCCTCATTCAAAGTAAATTTTCCAGGTTGAGGGCTAAGCTTTAGTGATTCGTCAGATGATTCACCATTCTTTGCATTTATTATCAAAGAGGTCTTCGCCTTGCCTATTTCTGATCCTAAACTTGACAAAGACATTAATGAGAGGTCTGTAGTAAATGATTCATGGCTAGGAGACCGCGGTATTCCGCCGGAGGGAGTCATAGTCACCTGATATGGTGGAGTAGACAATTCATGGCCGTTTTCCGAGCCATTCTTTAGCTTATTCATAACTTTAACCTGGTGTTAGATTCGAAAATTTAAACATTAACAGTCCTCGATACATCTGGAATACTTACAGAATGAATAAGTATTTGCAAATAAATCACAGCTCTCGAGCCACGAACGTCTTCAAAAATCCCAACAATTTTGATATGCATTTTTTTTAGGAAAATAACTTTACCAAACAGAAAATCCTAGCTAACTGTCGAAACGTTTTAAAGAAAGCACATATCAACAACTTGTCAATTTTCTTTCTTGTCAACAACTTTTTCAATGACAGGTCTCATGCTGCTTGTTGTCAACGCACCAGGCCGATATCTGAAAATTAAAGACATTTAAAAAAACACTGAAAATAATTAATAAACTATTAGAATCAGCAGTTAAAGTGAGCATATTTTCTCTATATGTACGAAAATGTTATGCTTATTACACACGTGTAACTGTAAACAGATCCAATAGATATAAATATATTTTGCAATTGATAAACTAAACCTCCTCATTTGATTGTTAGAAGTACTTAATTCTTAAATTGTTAATGCTATCCTAAAACAAAAACCCACTGTTAAAGCCTAATAATGCTAACTCAAAGAAGGTTAAAATTTTCAACTAAGACTGCATGAAAATCTAACAAAACGTTCAATATTGAAAACATTTTCGAACTTGGTTAAAGTTAATTACTAAATACAGAAATATATTTACATGAATGTTGTTTTAGCATTAAATCTCATAAAACAAGTTGTTTTTATTAACAAAAACTTTAACTTGTCAAACGCAGCACAGTACTTCTCTATTAGATTTGACTTGACACTGATCAGAGACGATCACGTTGCTGTTTATGACTTTCGTATCGCAGTCACAAAGATAATGTAGCTTACAGTAGTTATATTGTTTTTCGGGCAAAAGAACTTCCGTTCTTGGATTCAATAGCTTCTTTACACGGGTTGTTAAGTAACGACCGGTGACAATACATTTAAATGCCAAAGCAAATGTTGTATAATACACGCAATAGAAATATATATTTTGAATATACAAAGCTGCAAGTCACATGATAACCATAGCCCACATAAAGTCGCACTGGAACGGCTTGTATCAGAACTAAACTTTTGACATTGCTTGGCAATTAGTAAGTAGTGTGATGTCACCGAAAATTTATTGCTTTTGCGAAGGATAACAGCCCTTTCCGATGCACAACATTCATACACTCAAGAAAAAAATTGTTTAGATCGGGGATTTAAAATTTCCGAGACTCGTACTTAGTGGTATTAAAAAACAAAGTAATATGAATCAATTTGGGGACACAGGTCCATCCTGAAGAGAGCTGCACCAAATCGTATCCCAGTCGTAGAAAGCAAAGTGGAGCATATTGTAACAGGCGAGAATTCACTAACACAGAGGTAAATGGCGAAGGCCTTCCACTTGCCCCAGGTAACATTACATAACATAATCAAGAAGAATCTCTGTTTGTAAAAGTGACACAAGTTGCTTTCACTTTATATCCGTTCAACCGTCGTATGTTTCAAACAGCTGTAGAAGAAATGGGTGTTCATTCCATATGAAGATATACTGGTCAAGTCGCTGTAGATTTCTGTACAACCGAACTATTGAATAGGGTACTAGGAAATCATTGTCCTCTTGCATTAGATGACTTATGGAAACCAACATGGGTGAGTTGTGTGTTTTAGACACGAAAGTTTTACAGTGGAAACTACGCTGCAAGATTCACAATCGTGAGATAGAGCATTACCTGAAATAGCGATATGAACTGTAACGACGTGAAGAGGCTTCAAAATCCTCTGATAGTATCATCATCTTGAGAGACAGAATGAACCATCTTTGTTTTTTAAATTTAGAACGTCAACATTTTAGGGAACATTTTCTTAACTTTATAGACGAAACTTTTTGAAGAAGCAGCGCTACACAAGGTTCCTGTTAAGAACTGAAATTAATTTGAAAAAGAATGTCTTATTATGTAACGATACATATTATCCACCGAAGTTTCAAAACAACTGCCAAAAACCAATCAAGCATGAAATGCCATCTGGTAGATACATATTTCATCATAAATGATACATTATCATCTTATACTAATTCTACACCCACAAGTGGGTGTGAGTGCAGTGCCACCAGATACAATATACCTACGGAATAGATAAGCAGCATAATTGAATACAGTTGTTGGCAAGCTAGTTTTGTATTTTTCACCGAGTTATCCATATATAGCAATGTATTTGTACGTAGTTCCTACTCTGCACTCACCTTGTGAAGTTTGTCATTACACTAAAACAAGCTTTTAAACACAGAGGGAAATATTCAATCCTTTTACCTGTTGCGTACATACGGCTGACTTTTATTTTTCTTCTGGCACCTTACTGGCCAGAAATTATGTCTTTGTGGAAAAGAAAAAGGCAGAAAATTTAATATGACTTAACGTATGTGGTGACACACTTCATGTCAAATAGTTAATCAATACTTGCATACGTTTTTGTAATCTTTATGTTGTCTGTTGGAGTATGTGCAGAGACTAAGTAAGCTTCTTCCAGCTGGGTAGTTATATTAACATAGAAAATCTACTAATGTTTGTTGCACCAAAGTGTTCTAAAAGAATATAGCAACCACCATACAATTACATGATTTACTGTATTACTTTTGTTGATTCGTTAAATTCACAAAATTTATTTTATCAAATTAACATTTTTATAATGCATTTTAGGATTTTCTGTTTTCGCCGTTTTGTAAAAACGAATTATGCAATTTTAGGAGAAAAGCTAGTTCAGAAAATATTCACAATAAGAACCTTTACACTGTAGATACTTAAAGCCCCTAATGGTAAAACGTTCCGAAGTTTCTTATTTCATAAAATCCTATTACATCATTCATAAAGTATTTACTAACTTCTCAAGAAATAATGTGTATTTGCATGACAATTGTGATGTTTATGCAAGGTTCTTTTAAAGAACGTTAGTTATTGTTTTCATACAAAATTTACCCCAGTGATAGGTGAAGAAAATATGAATATGACTTTAGTATAAAAGGTACACCAATGGTGTCGATTATTTGTCATATTATGGGAGCAGAGCCAAAGAAATTTTGATTTATATATGATCACTGAAAATAAATATAAATAATAATACATTTCGATGAATTATCCAGAATTCGCCTAATATATTAATATAAATTAAGAAAGTTTTATGAGGAAAATATATAAGCCGTGTTTGTAAACTATGGATAACGAATCTGCGTAAACAACTGGTAAATATCTGTAATAATGAAAACGCTGATATAGTATTCCATAGTTTACTTAGTTAATATATATAACTCACTAGGGAGTTTTAAGAATCGTACATTATATTTATTTCAATATAAAATCACAATAAAAGACTGAAAATATTATATATAGGTTTCTATTATGCCACATTAAGCCTTACATTACAATAATTTTACTCACATATTTTTTAGGCGTAATATGGCTTATAAATAATAAGGATTGACTATTATTTCACTTGTAACTGAGTTACTCAAAATAAGTTTTAGTTGGAATGTTCGTTACATCGTCATTTTCTAGACATGAACGACGCTTGTCAAACATGGTGCCTTTCTGGGCAGTAAGTGTGGGATTACATCACAATAAAACTGAACATAATTTTAATCGCGTCATTCTTTACTGATCCTGTACGAGTCTCCATTCAGGAGTACAGATTAGTAGTTCGATAATACCATGTTTTAGCATTTAAAGACCACTTAGTATTACTAAGTCTAAGTACAATATGAACTAAGAGGGAATGCCCTTTCTCTAGCCACTACGTTAATTCTCGTCTTTCAGTAAAGTATTATGTACTTTTTAAAACTAGTTACACCGTATTCAGTGAAATTATACTAATACAATTTGTATTTCGATGTCTATGATCACATGACTTTGTTAACAGAGTACAAAGTTTTGTAGTTAGTAATCACGAAATATCCTTAAAGAAATAGTCTTATTCAACTGATTTGACGTTTTCTTAAAAATGAAATGAAATAAAAAACAAAACGCTTCGCTAGTTGAATTCCCATTAGATGCATGTACTTTAGTATGTTTTGACTAGGAGTTCTTTCTTAAATCAACTAGTTTCACTAAACAGGAGTAACCCCTTTTCTTTTTAACACTTTTTGGCTTTCTTATAAATCAAAATTCTCCTCATACAAACTTAACTATGTTTAAGATTTGTACATATTTTAATTCACTTGCACTGAAATCCTCGACCTTTAATCTCTTTTTGTGACAAGATCCGAATAAACATACAAAAATATTCTCTTTAGACTTCAGATTGTGACGGATAATCAATTTTGGTAAATACAACAAAATATATTTAAATGAAATTATTTTTGGGGGCACCAAAGAAATGGCGAAATTTATAATCTATACTAGACCAATCGATTAAAGAAAGTGATGTCCCCTAACCATGACACGCATAGTACTATTTATGCAACTTAATAGCTACTAGTCTAACAAAACTAACGTCGCCTACAAAATCAATGATTCTTCCAAGTCCTACTTCTGTGGAAATTCAGAGAAAAGCAAACCGTTAACCGACAAGTGAAAATTCGAAGTTAAAGCCCACTGAAACTCACCGGTTAATAGCTGCACACAAGTAGAATCAAGTTGAACATCTCGTTTGCATAGCTAAAGCCTCGGTGTGTCGGACACTTCTTACGTAATGATCGTATATAATTTTGTTCTCAGTTTTAGGACTCTGATGTACTGGCTCTTGGCTCGCATGCGCAGAATGCATGGCGAATATTGTTTGTGCGTTATAATAGTCTTAAGTAGTGAAGATTGAGTTAAGAAAATCTGAATTAAGCTCAAGTATGCAGAACATGAAAGTTAACTGCATTAATTTAAAGGTGGCCACTTTCAAACAATTTAACAGCGATAAACATAATGTCTTTAAGTTTAAGAAATCTGTTGTAATACATATCAAAAAGGGTTGAAACTTTTATTATATAATTTCATCCATCAATAACAAATTGATTCATAACATTTCACATACAAATTCACTCCCTTCTATCATCAGCACCTTGCGGATTAATTACATTTAGTAAATCAACATCATAAAGTTAGAAAGGTATAAAACGTTCTTAAGTTTTTTAATTTTTAGTTAAATGCAGAAATGCATCATTGTGGTCTTTATTTATAAACAAAAGTTACTAAGACAGACTTCAAATGTCAAAAGGACAACTTTATTCTTATCTTTTTTCATTTACATTATCTGATCATGAAGCCCAAAAACAATTTCTTAAGGATAATTAATGAAGTAGAAAATTACCAGTAATTGGAAATACTGAAAATCATTTTAAAAAAGGCCACTGATTTATAAACCATAGTTCTAAAAACTAGTTTATATATATATTAATCTACATAAAAACCCAAAGAATAACTTTACCAGGAAAGAGAAAATAACAAATCACTTTTCCTTGAGGAGGCCACAGTCATAAAGAAAAAATACTTATTAAAACTTCATTAAATTAAAAACAAACTTAAACAGAACAGAGATGAAAAATTTAAAACATATATTTAAAAATTTTAAACTAACTTTAAAAGTGCATAACATTATTTTATAACAAGGGAAACCATAACATTGTGTTTGCATTGTCCTCTACTCACTACAAGTAACCTATATATATGTATGGAATTTGAAGAGTAAGTAATATCTACTAATTTATTCTTCTAATATTATGATAACCAATGTTGAAATTAGATTTATACACTAAATAAGTCCTTTATATTATAATTAGTTTCACATGAAATTAAGGCAATTTTTTTTTATTACACTGCCATTGTAAACTTAAAATCTTTTGGAAACTGTGAAATATCCCAATTTTTCTCATCTGTTTTTAAATAGTTTTTATTCAAATATTGCTCACTTTCTTCTATTTCTGTGACTTTTATGGATATAATGAAATATTTCAATATCATCTTCAATGACTTTTAACAATATTTGCAAATAATTTCACTTTCAGTCTTTGTTTCTTCAAATTTTATTTCACTTTATGAATAAAGGTAATCCTTAAGAGTGTTTAAGAATTATTAAAATGAGAAAGTGTGGTCCTGGATAAATATTATAAAAAAACCTATATTTATTTTAAAGTATTTGATATAACAGTTTTCTTGAAATATTGGTCTTAAAAACCATAAAAACAATGACTAGGAATTACTTGGAATAATGTTATCCGAAACAGATAACTAAGCAGCTGCAACCAGCCAAAATAAAGGACATGCTGCATAACCTTGAAAATGTCTTACGCCATTATTTCACATAACCTCTTTCTCTCTCTGTAGATATATATTTATACATATATACATGTATACACTTACATTATATACTTAAGAAAAATGTATTTGCATATAACTAACTTATTACTTTGAGCATAACCACAATAAAAACTCACAGATGACAACAGAAGTTATGAATTACAAATATACTGAACCAATTTACATTTCAAGATAATAATAAAACTCTCAAAACATTTACTCTTAGGTCAACATTATGGCAATCTACACCTAAACATTCCATGTTTGCTTTTAACATATGTAGAGAATTATTTGATAAATTATTTTAACTAAGCAATGAAACATTTTTAAGGTGTGCATATTACAAAAATAATTTTTGTGCGGAAATCTACCATGTATATCTCTTTCTTTCTCTATTTTTCTAGACCATATGCAAACCTTCGGACTCCTATACACAGGAATCTCTCCACTATAGAAATATGCACTTTGTAACAAAGATATAGTTAAACTACAATCAGACTATTAGTTTCAACAGTTAAGTTTACCTTTCCAAATTCATAATTTAAACCAAATCACAACTTCAAAATTGTGTGAACAAGACAGTAAATTGCAATCATTAAATTAAAGATAATTTACAAAAAAAAACAGGTTTTCACAAATGTATAACTGATAGGCTCAAGTCACAATCAACAAATAAATAAACATAACTGCAAGGCACAAATAGGTTTTTTTAATGAAAACACTACCCAAAGTATATGATGTGGAAAAAATTCCTTGATTTTCAAACTGTTACCTTCCTTTATGTATGCAACTGATACAGAAGCAACTTAATTTTTTCCAAAGTTAAAGCACTAAAAACATATGTAGGCAAATAACATGTAAACTGCAAGCTGACCTCCCTAATTATTTCACCTGTTTCAGAAAAAAATAATTATTCCCAAGTTAACTTTGTGTCTGGCAATCCATCATCAAATAACCAGTACAATAAAAATATCTTAATATAACTATAAATAGTTTTAATTATCCTGTTCTTAATTAATTTATAGAAAGAATGTATAATAGCATTTGAACTAGACTGTGTTTACTAGTAGAACAACAGAGTTTTTGCTTAATATCAGGTTATACCAGGCCAGCTGGATTACAATAACAAAAATTTAGTTAAAATGCTACTTATATCATTATTAGGTTATATGCTGAATCAGGTCAAAGCTAGAAAAACAAGGGTATGCTTAGAGAAACAAGTGTAATGATATGGTGGTAAATGTATTTAGATACACCAGTTATATTCATCATACTTGTTTCCCATGTACAATATAGTGGTAAATGTATTTAGATACACCAGTTATATTCATCATACTTGTTTCCCCATGTACAATATAGTGGTAAATGTATTTAGATACACCAGTTATATTCATCATACTTGTTTCCCCATGTACAATATAGTGGTAAATGTATTTAGATACACCAGTTATATTAATCATACTTGTTTCCCCATGTACAATATAATGGTAAATGTATTTAAATACACCAGTTATAATTCATCATACTTGTTTCCCATGTACAATATAGTGGTAAATGTATTTAAATACACCAGTTATAATTCATCATACTTGTTTCTCACGTACAATATAGTGGTAAATGTATTTAAATACACCAGTTATAATTCATCATACTTGTTTCCCATGTAAAATATAGTGGTAAATGTATTTAGATACACCAGTTATAATTCATCATACTTGTTTCCCCATGTACAATATGGTAGTAAATGTATTTAGATACACCAGTTATATTCATCATACTTGTTTCCCCATGTACAATATGGTAGTAAATGTATTTAGATACACCAGTTATATTCATCATACTTGTTTCCCATGTACAATATGGTGGTAAATGTATTTAGATACACCAGTTATAATTCATCATACTTGTTTCCCCATGTACAATATAGTGGTAAATGTATTTAGATACACCAGTTATATTCATCATGCTTGTTTCTCACGTACAATATGGTGGTAAATGTATTTAGATACACCAGTTATATTCATCATACTTGTTTCCCAGGAACATATGTCCTTCTCATATATTGCATCGTAAAATTTAGATACTTTATTTACATCTACACATTTGTATATGTAGTACCACATGATTATACTCTGCATGACAGCTTCAATATTCAACGTTATCGACTAGAATGTTACAGAGAACGTTGCCAAGTAGAATTTTCTATTATCACTAAAGAGTACTATATATTCAACATAAAAAAATTCACCGTTGACTAGCAGCATGTATAAAAAGAATCGAAAAAGATTTTCTTCTTTCTTTAATCTCTTAGAAGAACAGTATCGCTAACATTGAAACAAAACAATTGTTCTGGGAAGAAATACTGTAAATGATACCCTACTAACTTGATGTACAAGAAATATAAAAGAAAAATATTGCCAGTGACAGTGCAAAGCCCATAATAATTTGTTTTATATGCTTTAAAATATATAAACTAATGTTATATAAACTAATATATTGTAATATATCACAAGGAAATAACCACGCTTACCAAACAAAAACACTTACTTCATACATGCAATTGAATGGAACATAATACTCATAAATGTACAAAACTACTTCACACATACCAATAAATGTCAGGTAGTAGGTTCTTTAAACTTTCGCTGATGTACAAAACTACTTCACAAATACCAATAAATGTCAGGTAGTACGTTCTTTAAACTTTCATTGATGTACAAAACTACTTCACAAATATCATATAGTAGGTTCTTTAAACTTTCACTGATGTACAAAACTACTTCACAAATACCAATAAATGTCAGGTAGTAGGTTCTTTAAACTTTCACTGATGTACAAAACTACTTCACAAATATCAATAAATGTCAGGTAGTAGGTTCTTCAAACTTTCATTGATGTACAAAACTACTTCACAAATATCAATAAATGTCAGGTAGTAGGTTCTTTAAACTTTCATTGATGTACAAAACTACTTCACAAATATCAATAAATATCAACTGCTAATGTGAACTTTGACAAAATGCTGCAGTTTTTTTTATTATCAAAACAATCCCAAAAAAGGTTTTCACAAGCTGGGCCATGTGTTATTTAAGTCAATTCTTTGTATTTGTTTATAAATTTTAAAGAAAACAACTTTAGAATGTACTTAACACAACATTAAAATTTATTATTAGCTTATATCACTGAAAACAAAAAGTTTATATTAAAAACAAGAGCAAAAATATTCCTGAAGCTAATTAGAACTAGCTATGAAGAAAAAAACCAAAATTCATTACACAATACTGCACTTTTAGAGAAGCAATATGCTTTAGTATGTAAATGACATTCAGAGATGGACATACTAAAATAATATTCAATTATAAAACTTCAAAATTTATTGTATTATTTCCTCTTCTTCTTCTTCGTCTATGTCATTAGTGACTGAAATACGATGATGTTTCACATTTTCATATTGTGCTAATTGTTTGGCTAACAGTTTGGTTACAAGACGCTGATGAATCAAAGCTTCATTTCTGTCACAGAGCTACAGACAACAAAAAGAAAGTATTACATGATTCACAAACAATTCAATATTCAAACTCAGGAAGTTACAAAAACAAATGGTAAATTAGCTTTACAAAAATTAATTTAAATACTTAAATTCATAGGTACAGTAATAATTGGTTTTAACCACTGTTACCCAATTACAAATATCATAATTGGGTAAAACAATTTTAATGGCTAAATGCATACTTACATACTTATTAAAAATTGCACAAGTTAATGTGGGATATTTTTTGTTCTTTATCTCCTACACCGTGTCTGAAGAAGTGCAAAATTGAAGTTATCTTAGTTTTTCCTGCTTTTTTATCAACTTACTTATACCATGTCTGAAAACCAATGTACAAAGGTGATTTAGTTTCTGTAAGTCACTATAACGGATTCAACTGCTAATGTAAACTTTGACAAAACCACTTTTTGAACCTTTAAACTTGTACTACAAGGAAGAGTATTAATATCTTTAAAAACCGAATTCCTAACAAAAATTAAATGATCAGAATTTTAAATCAGACTGAGGTAGGATCTTAGGTTAAATTCTTAATTAAAAATAAATGCTAAAACATTAGTATTCTCACACTGGTATTTGCATTTTCTGCCAAAACTCAAAGTGATAGTTTGGTAGAAGTGAACAGAGGGAGTCACATACATCAGGAGAAGGTGTCACACTCCTATTGGTGGATGATTGTCGTATGATGATTTACATGCGAGAAGCAGTTGAACCATTTGATAATCTTAGTTCAAACCACGAGTTCCATTATAAGGAAAAGTAGATATACATGCAGGTAATTTAGGTATGACGTAATCAATAAACCATGGGGTGTAAAAACAGTTCTGAAACTTTTTCACATTAAAATTAATTAGAGACAGCAGAAAAATGATTTTGTAAAACCATCAATTATTCTATTTAATATTTCTTTATGAAACCCATAATAATCATTAGCTAAATGAGAGGCAAGAAGCACTAAATTGTTAATTATCTTTTATATACATTGAAATTAAAACAGTTATCAAGGTTGTTTATTTTTCAGTCCAAAAAAGGTAACAAAGATTAACTTTCTAGCTTAAGAATGAATTTAATAGTAGTGTGATTCCTGTTAAAATATGCAAAGAAATTAGGTGTTCCTTATATCTAAAAATTATAAAAGTATCATCTATATATCTTCTGTATAATATTGGTTTAAACTTGATAATATATTTGTCTGTCAAACAAACAAAAAAAGATTCTTGAATACTAAATTTTAATAATCTCTCATCTACATCTTCATTCAACCCTCTTATTATATCTGTGTTTATATATCTTAAGCTAGTATATAAACCTATTTATTGTTTCACTCAGATGTATATTCCTATGTAAGGATTCTGTATCAAAACTAGAATAAACAACTGATTAATCAAATCATCTGAAATTCTGTACTTCTCTACAAAAAGTAAAATTATTTTTAACAGTAAATTCATTATTAACATAAGGAGTTAAAACTCGCATAAAATCCCAGTTAATTGATTATTATAGGTGCCAATACTTAATCAAAACAACAGGTTGGAGAAAGGAAATATTTTTTTGAACTGTACTTAAGCCTTTTACATCAGATAAGGTCAAAGTGTGTATGTAAAAACCATTTATAGTTACATTCAAAATTCAATAACAGAACGTTTAAATTAATGTACATTAATAAACTAGGCATTAAAATTTTAATGTACATTTTAACTTCAAAAGGAAATATTTAAATAAATTTTCAATCTCCATTTCTCTGTATCATATGACACTTCTTTGTTCAAACTGCCCACTTTCTACCCCTCTATCACCTTTTGAGCTTGGCACAAATCACACACTTACAGAACAGAAATTTATGACCTCCAATCTTCCATTTTTAAAAAAATGCCAATAATTCTTTCTGGCATTTGCTATTAGATTATTAATTACATATATAAAGAAAATATTTTGAGTTACTAGATCAGCTCATTCTAATAACAAGTTTTAAATTATTTGCCATTGTGGTGTTCGCATTATCCAGCTAATGAACTTTTACCATATTTTTCGGTGTATAAGATGCACTTTTTTACCCCAAAATTTGATGTCAAAATCTGCTTGCGTCCAATACACCAAAGGTATGAATAATATATATATGTAT